GTGGTCCGCGTGCTGTGGACAGGGGCTGCCATGTGAGCTCTCGGTGTTCTCAGAAGCGGGCAGCGGTGCGTCCCCAGCCAGCCTGGCACGCCGGGGGCTGTCCTCTGCCATCAGAGCAAGGCTCATGGTGTGAGCGGTCGGGGGCGGGGCAGACGTGGCCCCTCCAGAGAAGGGGCTCCGGGGGCTCTTTGTGGAGTCTGGCGACAGCTGGCTCCAGACAGAGGTCCTTGACCATCTTCCTCCTCTGGCTACTCTCCCGGCTGGGCCTTGCTGCGCAGAGCTGTCCGCTGGATGGCCGCCACGGCCCCTGTTGGGCCTGCCCCTGAGGCACAGGCCTTACAGCCGAGGGGCCATGGGACGGGGGTCTGCATGCTGCTCCCAGGCGACCGCCTCAGCTTTCTGCAGACACCTGGGGCTGGGACACAGGCACGTGGTAGCCGCCAGGGCAGATGGCGGCTACGCTGTCGCGCAGAACTGGGTGTGCAGAGTGTGGCCTGGACACAGGGAGCCTGGTGTTTGTGCAGCGACACAGCCTGACAGCCATCAGGTCTGACACACCCTCATGCAGGAGCATGGGGCCGGGGAACCCAGAGCCCGCACTGGCTAGCTAAAGCGTGTTTGGGGTGGGGGGGGCCCGGCCAGCTGCGCAGGGAGTTGGCACTGAGCTCCCGTCTGAGGGGGTGCACAGGGGAGTTCTGGGGGGCTGCTGACAAAACCACACTGTCCTGGGAAAGGACTTGGTGGAGTGAAGTAGCCTGGTAGTGGGACACCAGTGTGCAGCCACAGTGAGTGTGTGCAGCACCTGACTGGGTGTGCGGGACCCAGGCAGCTTGGGACCCTGGGTACTGTGCTTGCCGTAGGTCATGTGGACCCTAGGTGGCATGAGACCCCGGGTACTGTGCTGAGTCTGGTCCCCATGTTGTCTTTGAGTTCCGGGCGGCCTCCGAGGAAGCGGGCTGGGCCTGAGGCTCAGTGTGGTCCCCTGCGCCCCCACGCAGCCGGAGGACGTCTGCGGCTGAGCAGAACCTCAAAGCAGGTGTCGTGTCCCAAGCTGTGGGTTCCGATGTGCACAGAACCTTGGTACAGCTCAGGGGTTGGCATAGAAAGCAAGTTTATTTTCTTATAACCTGATTTGTGGTTTTTAAAGAAAGCTACTAAAATCTGTTGTTTCAGATGCCAGAATAGGATAACATCACTTTAGTAAAATCAACCAATCCTTTTTGAATCGTCCAATAGTGAGTTTCTCCAGTATTTATATGAGCTGCAGCTCCGGGCTGGCGCCTATCTTAAAGAGATGATAAAGCACCCAAGTGCATTGTGGGTACGAGTCCTGGGACACAGGGGCAGGTGGGTCCAGGCTGGGTCTGCCTCCTTGAGAAGGGAGCCAGAGTGGCCTGGGCGTGTGATGTCCAGAGGAGCCAGGCCTCCTCTTTGTCCTCTCTGGTGGCCGCCCTGCCCCCTGACAGCCTCCTGGGTAATGGCAGGGAAGCTCCTGAGCTTCCCCACCCCATTTCTGCTTGGGCACTGCCTCTGCTGTGTGAGGCTGGAGCAGACAGGTGCCAAAGCATGGTTGTCCACTCGCTCCTGGGTGTCAGTGGATAGAGAGCAGCACAGGCCGGTGGCCTTCCCAGGCCGTCTGCTCTAGAGCCTGGACAGTGACTCCCAGGTGTGACGGTGCACATTCAGGCTGGGCTTTGCCTTGCGTGCTGACTATGGTCTGGGGAAAAGAAGTCCTGGCCACCCTGGCCGTCCCTGCCCCTCTGTCCGTTGTGATGGTGTTAGTTTCTTGACCGAATCTCGGTCTGCACTGAGCGCTGCCCTCCTCCAAGTCCTCTTCCTGCTCCCCACCTGCGCAGCCCCCCTCCAACCCTGCTGGCACCTCCCACACGCTTCCCCACGGAGTTCCGCTTCTCGGGTGAAGGGTGTGCTCAGCACACAGAGTGAACAGTGTGGGATGGGGTGCAACCAGACACACGCCTTTCCTGATCGTCAAACCTGGCAGTGTGCCCTCGTTCTGTCTGTGCGGCGACTGCCTGCCTCTTGGTCCAGGTCGCCGTTCTTCACCAGGCTTGCAGTGAGTCCTGACCCACTGCCGGGTGCCCTGGCACAGCCAATAAAAGCAAGCAAGCACCTCTGGGTGTTCTCTGCTTTCTCCAGGACCCATCTGACACCAGCAGGGAGGGATGCTTAGTGGGCCTCGTCCTTTTGTGGACTCAGCTGGCCGCCCCTTCTTAGTGTCCCTGCCGCCACCATGCGTGTGACCCTCTGGCCATTCCGGCATCTTTGAGATGCAGGGTGCACACACCGGTCTCTGCCCGCTGGCCAGGTAGCGGTCTTCCAGGCGCGGCTGGCGGTGTCCTTCTTGACAGAGACCAGCAGGTGCTCCCAGTGCTTCGTCAGCCGGAAGCAGTTGGTAGAACTCCTGAGTTCTTGGCGTTCGCTGGACAAAGCGGGTGGGGGGGAGCTCTGACCGCCCCCGGGGCCCTGACACCAGCTGGCTGGGAGCAGACCGTAGGCGGTGGTCTTGTGTCCTGTTGGGGCTTCAAAGGAATCTGGTGCATCCCAGGAGCGGCTTCTCCTGGCTCCCACTCCCCCGCCCCGCGCAGGCCCATGGTGGGCAGGTGTGTGAGGGTGCTACCCCTGTGGTCTGCACTGCACAGAAACGGGCTGGACGTGCTAGGGCTCTGGGGAGAGACACCCTCACGCTGTTCCTGGGGCCCTGGCGCTGGGGCCTCAGGAGGCAGAGGTGCAGGCGGAACCCCGTGGTGAGCGCATGTTGTGCCCTGTCTCCCAGAGGACTTCCCCAACGGGACCTGGCTAGGTGACGAGAACAACCCCGAGATGCGCGTGCGCTGTGCCATCCTGCCCTCCGACATGCTGCACATCAGCACCAACTGCCGCACGGCCGAGAAGATGGCGCTGACGCTGCTTGACTACCTCTTCCACCGAGAGGTGCAGGCCGTGTCCAACCTCTCCGGCCAGGGCAAGCACGGCAAGAAGCAGCTTGACCCGCTCACGATCTACGGCATCCGCTGTGAGTGCGACCTGTGTGTGTGTGTGTGTCCTGGGCCTGCTGGGGGCGGCCTGCAGCCGGCTCATATCTGAAGGCCCACCTTCAGGAACCACCAGGAGGGGTGGTGCTCCTGCCTGGGGGTGCCCTGACTTTGAGTGTTCACTGGGAGCGTGGCTCACGTGTCCAGAGAAGACGCACAGGCTCGGCCCCTTCCGCCTGCAGTTCTGTGGCCCCTCTTGTTTCCCAAGGTCAAGACCATTTCACAGGCTGCTGGCCCCGTGGCCACACCTGGCCTTCGCCTGGATCTCTGGGCCGCCTTCGCCATGACTGTGGCTTCCTCTCCTCTGAGGGTGGCAAGCCTGGGCTACCCACCATGGACTTGCCATGCCACGTCCATCCCTGTTAGCCTGGCCCTGGCCTGTAGGGAGCTCACGACCCCCTGAGAGCTGACCTGCCTCCCACACCACAGGGCTCTGGGGTGAGGAAGGCCCTTAGCGGTCACACAGGCACTGGTGCTGGCGCTGAGAGCTGCCATGCAGTCTGCTGGCACGCTGGCCGGTAGAGGTAGCTGGGCACCATCAAGGTCCTGTGGTCTCAGGCAGGCGAGGCTGGGCCTCCTCCTTTGCCGGGGTCTTGTGCACATACTGTTCCGAGGCCGGAGAGTGTAGAATTCGGTACACTCGTCCCAGTTCCTGGAGGAGTGTGAGGAATGTGGGTGGGAGGAGGCTTTCTAGAGTGTTTCCGACCACGGACACAGGAGCTTGGTGCGGATGTGACTGGGCCTCCGGCCCCTTGCAGGCAGCAGCGGTGGCTGAGGGGCTCTGTGCTCACGCCCCCCTTAGCTGTGTCACTCCCAGCCAGGACCTCTCGAGGCCCTCCGCCTGGCCCCAGCGCCCCACCATGCCCACTCAGGAAGGGGTGACTGTGCCCCCTGGCCAGGAGTCTTTGCATAAGAATCGGGCCGCGAAGGAGCCCTTCTGCGGGTGGGAAGGGAAACGTGCTTCTAAACCAGCAGGCCGCTGCACTCGCCCTCCTCATGCGTGGTCTTGGTCCAGAGGAAAGGCGCCCTGGCCGCCGGTGTGCTCAGCGTCAGAGACAGACGCGAGCATGCGCTCCTCGCGGGCAGCCTGGACTGTCTGCAACCAGAGGAGGCGTGGAGACGGAACGGGGCTCCAGAACACATGTCCTTTGTCCGGATGACGCGTCGAGCGTTCTAGCCGCAGTGGGAGCAGGTCGCCGGCCTGGGACCGTCATCGGACCCTCCTTAGATCCTCCTGTGGCCTCTCCTGGGAGGTCCTGCTCCATGTAGCTCTGACTCCGAGCCCATGGGACGGCCCATCGACCCTCCTTAGATCGTCCAAACCCTGCTCCGAGGCGTCACAACAGGACACTCCTCGGCTTCCTCTTCTGAATGGCATCCACCCCTTCCTTGTTGAGTGGTGGAGTTTCATGGGTCGTTGGTTCAACGTGATACTGTGATTTCTCTTGAGTGTGAAAGGATCACGGGAGAGCTCGCTCTGCTGCTGTGCAAAGGGACTCTGGTATTCGAAGGTGGCGGGAAGGGATCTCAGGCTGTTGGGGAGGGTCGAGTTGTGCTGATGCTGTGGGCAAACGGGAAGGCAGCCTCCCCACCGCATGCCCCACGGGAGCAGGTGGCCCCTACCTCACCGGGGGTGTGTCCCACGTGGGAAGCTGTCATTTCCCTCCCATCGCGTGTCATCGGAGAGGCTGACCCTCCCCTCTGTCCCTCAGGAGAGCACGCCTGTGCCCGAGTGTGCTCATGCGTGCTGTGCCCTTTGCAGGCCACCTCTTCCATAAGTTCGGCATCACGGAGTCGGACTGGTACCGCATCAAGCAGAGTATAGACTCCAAGTGCCGGACCGCCTGGCGGCGGAAGCAGCGGGGCCAGAGCCTGGCCGTCAAGAGCTTCTCCCGCAGAGCCCCGTCCTCCTCCTCCTACGGCGCCTCAGGTACCCTGGCCGCCGGGCCGCCTGCGGGGCTGGGAACTCGTGGGGTCTTCGTGGGGGTTTTGCGTGAGGAGTGGATCCAGAACGGCCTTTGCGGGGTTCATGTTGGGTCTGAGCCTCAGGGTGGGGGGTGGCCTGAGGACTGTGGGCAGCGTGGGAAGGACACTTGCTCATCCTCATGGCCTGAGTTGCTTTGCTGTAGCATCTCCTTGCGTGTGGCCTTAGGCCAGGGCCGGGTGAAGACTAACTCGGTGCCTGGTTCTTTCTGGGCATCCCTGTGCGGCCACACAAGGCCCTCCCTCCTGGCCACTTGGGCACCGTGGGAAGCTGCCCTCTCACTGGGCTGGCTCTGGCCTGCCCGTCTGTGGGGCCCTCAGAGCAGCTCACGGTGAGGACCAGTCTCCCACAGAGAGTCCTTGACCGTAAAGCCAGCCGCACTGCCCAGAGGCAAAGCAGTGGTCCCTGCTGCCTGTTGTCAGGAGCCTGTGGTGCTGTTGAGATGCGCTGTCCTCGCTGGCCGCCTGTGGCCTCTCCTGGGAGGTCCTGCTCCATGTAGCTCCGACTCCGAGCCCCTGGGACGGCCCCATGGACCTGCTTCCTGGAGCGTTCCTCCTTGGGGAGGCCCGGTGCCGTTTGCCAGAGGGCGGGAACAGGTCCCTTCTGCCTGGGTGTGAGCCGCATGTCTCTGAGGTAGGGTCGCAGCAGGAGTCCTCACAAAGACCTTAAATTAAAACGGCAAACGCCCTCGAGCTATTTAAATGATCATGACTGATCAGAGTTCTGGAACTACATTAAATTCTGCTGCTCTGGCTTTTTAACACAGCGTAGGGCATGTCCTCCCTCCTCAAGACAAGCCAGAGTGTCCAGCGAGCCTCGGTGAAGCTTGGGGCCTGGGACACACAGGTCCAGGGTTCTTGTCGCCCACCCTCCACCAGAGGACCAACCCTAGAGCCTTGCAGGGTGAACTCGACGCTGTGGGGAAGTCAGGGCAGGTTGGCTGAGAGCTGCTCTGGGCTCCCAGGCTCTGCCTGCTCCCAGGGCTGTCCCTTCCAGGGCACTGCTGGGGCTGGTCCTCAGCTTCCCCTCTTTGGCCTCCCTCTTCTGGACGGTCTCGCTGCGTCTACCCGGTGTGCCCTCACTCCCCGCTGCAGCCTCAGCCGGGAGTGGGGTCAGGCTCAGGATCTCAGCGCCGCAGGCTGGGCCTGCCGTGTGATGAGGGGGGCCTCTGCCACTGGAGATGCCCCCTTCTGAAAACACTGTGGGTTACAGGACCCGATCGCCTGGGGCTCCCTCGGCTTGTCTTCCCGAATGAGCCCGGTGTCAGGAAGCAGCTCTCCCAGCTGTTGTTACAGTCACCGGATACTTTGGCTTCATCGTTGCCAAATATTGTAAAGATGGGAGGTGGCCAGCTAGTGCGGCCACACAAGTTGCACCTTTCCTCCAGGGCGCGTGCGTATTGCAGACTCTTCCTGAGGAATCTGCACCCTCTGCTCTAATCAGGGTCGTGCCTGGGAAGTCAGAGAAGGAAAGGTGTCAGTTGTTCGTGTGAGTTAAGTTTTGCGGTGCACCGCCGTAGAGTAGGGGTCTGGCTGTCACAGCGCTGCAGATGTGTAAGTCACGTGTGGGGATTTGCTCTTGAATGTTGTGAGCTGAGGGGAGCAGGTGTGACTCATGTCATGGCTGCGTGTCATCAGTCCGACACGTGCCGTGTGTGGAAGGCGATTGAAGACACAGGCGCTCACACATTTCAACCATGGCCGCTCTCGCTAGGTCACGGAGCGTGACTAACTTCTCTTCAGTGTCCGCTGTGGCCTCCAGGTACGTGGGAGTTGGCGCGAAGGGCTGGGAGAGCCCTGCCTTCAGCTGGGTGCGGTCTCTGGTGCCAGATTTCACGCCCCTGCCGGGGCAATCTGTGCCAACGCCCAACAGCTGTGACGAGAGGCAGCGTGGGCAGGGTCCTTACAAGAGGAGAGGAGACACGAGCCGGCCCTCTCTCTGGAGGCCTGAGCAGCCCGAGCAGAATTCCAGCGGGCACACACACGTCCCCCGAGCCGAGGAGGCAGACTAGCAAGGACTGGTAGAGTTCCCAAGATGAGGCCGTTACAGGAGCACGGGGCCTGAGCCTGCACAGGGTCCCGCGGGGCTGCGCAGAGACCAGGACTATGAATGGGGGGCCTGAGCTCTCGGGGGTGTGCAGGCGCCCACCAGCTGGAGTGGCCAGTCCCCACTGGTGCAGGCCTTAGGTAGGGCCACCAGAGGCCATCCCTTCCTGGTGGGGCGAGACTACCCCAGAGTACAGAGCCTCTCAGAGACAGGAGAGGGCCAGCGCATGGACAGCAAGCCTCAGGAGGCTCTAATGGGGTCACGAGGAACCTAATATCTTCTAAAGCGGCAGTTCTCAGCCTGTGGATCGAACGACCTTTTCACAGGAGTTGCCCGGTTCGTAACAGTAGCAAAATTACAGTTATGAAGTTGCAATGAAAATAATGTTATGGTTGTATGAAAGGGTCACGGCATTAGCAAGGTTGAGAACCATGGTTCTACAGGACAGGAGATAATCCCAGCACTCAGCCAAATGAAACCCCCAATGTCCAGTACCCAGCCAGGAATCACTGGACAAGAAGCAGGGACATCTGCCCCGGGGTCAGAAGGAAAACAAGCCCAGAGAAAGAGGCAACATATTCCCATCACCCACCACCACCCCTACTTCTCAGAAGAGGCCTCTTAACATGACAGGGCTAGTCAGGGTAGACGACGCTCTCCTAGAGGAGTAGGTTGGGAGCCATCTATAGCAGCTGTTAGGTTTGAACAGAGGCCGTTGACCGTGAATTTATCTCCAGACCCTCATTTGAAATGAGAACGTGGCACGGCAGGGTCAGACAGGAGCCCTGGTGGTACAGTGGGTTGCTGACCTCAGGGTGAGCGGTTCAGGCCCACCAGCTCCGTAGGAACCCCAGGAGGCCATCAGCTCCCGTGAAGGCTCGCAGCTTCGGAAGCCCCGCAGGAGAGTGGTGCTCCTGTGCTGTGCGGCCACTGTGAGTCCGGCTCTGGGTCACTGTGGGTCACCGGGTGGGGAGCAGCTCTGTGCGGGGGTTCAGAGGGAGAAGACCTGCAAGGGTGAGCGAGCAGGGGCTGGTTGGCCTCCTCGGATCGCAGACGCGCGCCTGCGCCCTTTCACCAAATGGGGACGAGACCCCACGCCGGGGTCTTTGTCAGTGCACGTTGGGCACCCTCCCCAGGAGTCCGTCCATCCCACGAGATGGCCTCTCGAAGACCCGGCCACGTGCACAGCCGCCTCCCTGGGCGCCGTGCCTGCTCCGTTCCCAGCCCTGCAGGTGGGCGCTGCTGAGGGCCCTGGGCCCAGGGTCCAGCACACCACCGTCCGCAGGGGACAGCGCCCACACTCATGGCCTTGCTTTGTGGACATTGCGCGCCGGAGGTTAGCGCAGCATGCTCTTCTGGACTTGAGGTGTTTATTTGCCGGGGGAGGAGCCAGCGTGGAGTCTGAGCCTCACTAGCCAGTCCCCACTGCGCTCGGCAGGGCAGGGCCAGCACGCCTCTGGGACTCAGACACGGGTCAAGGGACTGGATCGCCCCGCCAGTGTAGCAGGCAGTGGTGGAGAGCAGCAAGGGCGCCTACACTTTGCCTCCTGTTAGTGGTGCCGCTGGTCTCAGCCTAAAACAGCAAACCAGAGCAGAGTAGTGAAGCCGGCTTTGCGATTGTGATGGGCTATCACTTCAGCGGGTTGTCTTATTTATGTTAGAATTATCAGTGGAGGGAAAAAGGATTTTTCCAATAAGTAACTGCACGTACGATTCTGAGCCATGGCGAGTGTGCCTGTTGATAGCCGAGTTAATCCGCCAATCTGTATACAGGCCACAACCGCATGCGTTTCGAGGGGTGAGGGGAATCCATCAATTCACTGTCCCCTCCTCTGGCAGCGGCGCGTGAGGTGGCCCGGTTACGGAGGCCTCTCTCCCCTTGGCCTCCAGTGGAGGTGAGCTCACATGTCAAGGCTGGCTCAAAGGGACCCTCATGGGGTCATGGGGTTGGTGCTGCACTGTGGGATTTCCTCGGCTGGCCTCCCGTGGAGTCACCGAGTGGGTTTGAACTACCGCCCTTGGGCCAGCAGCACAAGACAGTGTCCTCTCGGGACACCGCTTGGGGCCTGGTGTCTCAGCGCTGCCAAAAGCCAGCAGGGGTGTGTGAAGCTTTGCTTCTGGAAGTGTGGGCCCTGAGGACGGACACTGTGGGGGAGCCAGGCCAGGGGGGCGAGCGAGGAAGGCCGGTCCTTACTGCCCGTCCGTCTCAGCTTTGGCCAAGGAACCAGCACCCAGGCCACTGCTCGGCACTGGGGTCGCAGATTTGTGGGTACTAACGCGGGGCTTACACTGATCCCCGCATCAGCAGTTCTAAACCACCAGGTGCTCAGCAAGAGAAAGACGAGGCTTTCTGCTCTCATGAGAGCTGCAGTCTCGAGAACCCCCGGTACTCAGTCCTGCAGTTGCTGTGGAATCGACTCTGTGCCAGTGAGCTGGGCTGAGAAAGAGGATCCCTGGTGGCTTAGTGGTTATGCTTTGGGCTGCAACCCACAGGGTCAGCAGTTCAAAACCACCTGCCGCTCTGAGGGACAGAGGAGACCAGTGACAGTCTCAGAAACTCCAGGGGCCAGTTCGACCCTGCCCTGTGGGGTCGCTAGGCATTGGAATGGACTCATGGCACCGAGTTTCCGTGGGGTTTTGATCATTCACGTCCCTCCCACAAGTCGCACCTCCCACGTGGTGATGCCCTGCGGCTCAGAGCACAAATGCAGCTGGTTCTCAGCCCCCGGCCCAGGAACCTTGGGGACCAGCGGGGTGGACTGCAAATGTTCTTTACCAGCCAACGGCACACGCCTTGTGCTGCTGCGGTTTGCAGCCACAGGTTAAGGGTCACTTCTGGTGTGCTGAGGGGTCCCATTTGTTCTCCTTTTTTTAAAAACATTTGATGGAGGGCTTTCACA